TCCTGGGCTCAAAACAATCCACCTGTGTTGGCCTCCCAGAATGCTAGTCAGTTGTGAGCAACCATACTGGGCCTGACGTTTAGATTTTGAAGGGAAAAAATATATATATTGTTTGATTAAAAACCAATAACTTAAAAAGTAGGAAATTGTTTAAAAATTGAAACAAAAAATAGGAAGCTATTGAAAATATGAAATGGATTATAAAGTATCTAGAAAATAAAAATTACCTATAAGCTAATCCCTTAGAGATAAATTATTGGTACTTTTGGAATGTATTCTTCCAGTCTTTACATTTTTGTTCAAAAATATATTAAAATTCAAACCCAACCTGGGCCAGCTAAACAACAATGACAATTGCAACAAAAAAAATAGGTGGGGGTTGTGGCAGGCACCTGTAGTCCCAGCTACTTGGGAGGCTGAGGCAAGAGAATCACTTAAGCCCACGAGTTTGAGGTTGCTGTGAGCTGTGATGCCATGGTACTCTCCGAGAGTGACATAGTGAGATTTTGTCTCAAAAAATATATATAGATAGATACCCACACACACACACCATATATATATGCCAGGCATGGTGGCTCATGCCTGTAATCCTAGCACTCTGGGAGGCTGAGGCGGGTAGATTGCCTAAGCCACCAGTTTGAGACCAGCCAGAACCAGAGCCAAGACCTTCCCTCTAAAACTAGCTGGGCATTGTGGCAGGCACCTGTAGTCCCAGCTACTCGGGAGGCTGAGGCAAGAGAATTGTTTAAGCCCAAGAGTGTGAGGTCGCTGTGAGTTATGACACCATGGCACTCTACTGGGGGCAAAAAAATGAGACCTGTCTCAAAAAATAAATAAAAATTAAAAATGTATGTAAAAAACATGAATTTAATTCCCAGCTACTTTAAGTTAAAAATTTTATGTTCTTATTTTTTTGCCCTTAGTCTTAATGCCCTTTCTTTGGCAGTTAAAATATTTCGTGAATATCATTCTATTCCCTTTTTTGTGCTATAACCCATTTTTCTGAAGCCTGACACTATTTAATATGAATTGGCCTGCAAATTACTTTATTTACTTAATATATATTGGCTATCAATAAATAATTTTATACAGATCTGTTTTATTGTTTTAATAGTTATATGATATCCCATGGTATTAATATATCATAATTATTTTACATTCTTCATTTTTT